TTCCATGACCACCAGAAGTGTGAAGGAGATCTCCGCACAAGTGCCCAAAGTTGACAAGGTTACGCTCATCTTTGACAGACTTACCCACTCAGCATGCTGGGGATGGAACAAGGAGAACCAGGCCCTCGGGGCTGTGGAACCTCATCAGCTGCTCCCCCATTCGGGATGGATTGTTGACAGGGTTCATCTTGTGACCTGCTCTAAGTTCCTGAGTGCCATGGCCATACCATACCCGAAGGATCCTGGAAACGCTATTTCAGTCACTACATTTTTAATCAGAGGTTAATAATACCTCATGAGTCGAAGACAGAAACAAATTATTCTTGAACTAGCCCGCAACTATTGGTGGAAGTATTAAGGCAACTCCACGTAGTTAAAAGGGAGGTTTATTTTGTGGGGTAACTCACAAGTGAAGGGATAGTTTACAGGGTCCAGGAAAGGTGTAGTGCAGTCGGGTGGTGTTCTCTGGAGAACTCTGCTTGGTTTACCTCCAGCGTCCAGGATCTAGGAACTAAGAGAGTCAACACATCTGGATCTCGGGTCTTAAGGGTCCCCTCTCAGCCCCGCCTCGTAGGCATGACAGTTACTGGAAGCTTCAATAGGGGTAGTACTTCCAAGGCAAGGTGGAACAGCTACCCACTACACTCAACGTGGAGATGATATGCTGTGGGATATTCTGTATGTCTTGTGGGAGCCCGTTCTTGGGTTCCTCATGGCTTTACCCAGCAGGTCCACATAGAGGATGATTAGGACCACAGGCCTGAGTGCAGGTGTCTGAGATGGTCTGCACTTGGCTGTGCTGGGGAATGGTCTGTATGTCAAGTTGCTCTGATTGGTCAATAAATAAAACACTGATTGGCCAGTGGCTAAGCAGGAAGTATAGACGGGACTAACAGAGAGGAGAAATAAAAGAACAGGAAGGCAGAAGGAGTCACTGCCAGCCACCACCCTGACAAGCAGCATGAAAAGATGCCGGTAAGCCACGAGCTGCGTGGCAGGGTATAGATTTATGGAAATGGATTAATTTAAGCTATAAGAACAGTTAGCAAGAAGCCTGCCACGGCCATACAGTTTGTAAGCAATATAAGTCTCTATGTTTACTTGGTTGGGTCTGAGCGGCTGTGGGACTGGCGGGTGAGAGAGATTTGTCCTGACTGTGGGCCAGGCAGGAAAACTCTAGCTACAATGGTACTCAAGGTGTGTGGCCATTTTTCCTCCTAAGGACCCTATGAGAGATGTATGAACAAGGTCGACTTTTACAATTTAAGGAGATCAGGTTTGGGAGAGGACGTAAGGCATAAGCTGGCCTGGGAAACAGGTCTTTCGACTTCCAAACCTGTGGTCCTTAACCCTGGCCTGTTCTGCCTCTTGGCACAAGATAAACCGTGGCGGGAGAGCCTATGGTGTACCTGCAAGGCCCCTCATCCCATTGGTTGGGACAGTCTGGAGGGGGTGAAGTAGAGGAAAATCTAGCACCAGGCCGGCTGAGGGCCAGCCCCATGGAATGTGAATGATGCAAGTCATCTTGGCACAGGCGGCCATGCTGCCAGGAAACTCCTCCAGAGCTGATGAAAGAGAAGGCACCAGGCGTGTGAGGGGAGAGCCGGAGAGCCTCGAACACCTCCCACCCCTTCCTGCCTCCCCAGATGTGCACACCCTCTCGCAGAAACCATCTTCCAAAGCTGGTGCGCACTCACTCATCCAGCCTCCCAGAGAGCCGGGGCAGGGTACCTCTTGGCTGTGGGGTGATAACTAGCTCTACTGATCTGTGGCGGTGCATCTTTTTCTAAAATGGGAGTTAGCTGTACGTCATTTTCCCAGTTAAGAAATGCTGAACGGGGTGGGTGTGGGGTGCTCTGGGAATGCACACCTGGGATTCCGGCACTAGGGAGGTGGAGGCAGGCAGAGGATTTCCCATTCTCGGCCCGCCTGGGCTACATAGCAAGACCCTGTCTCAAAAAAGACGAGAAAGAAATGAAATGAAATCTGGGCTCATGGGAACCAACAGAATCGATTGACGTTATTACATAATTTGTAACTGGACAACCTGTACTCTTCTCTCTCCTGATTTGTGGACACCGCTTTCTGTCTTCTGCCTGTCTCTCATTTCTTCATGCTTCAGCCAAGCAAGACTATGGCGTGGAGCTGCTGAGGCAGCAGATGAAATCAAGGGTTTGATGTGAACACCAGTAAGTGGTACTCACTGCCCGCAGGCTGCTCGTCCCCAGCTAGGCTTTCTTCTTGCTGTTACCTTCCCTATTTGGTTGCTACAGTCTTTCTGGGGGCTCCTCAACACACTTGCTGGTGAGAATGTGCTAGTTAAAGCTGGACTGGCAGACGTTTGAGTTCTCCTCGGCTTGCAGTCAAGGGGAGGAGGTCACTTTGGGCTCGTGAAAAGGTACCCGCCGCGGCTGTTTCTCCCACGTTCTCTACAAGGTGCACAGAATTTTGCAGATAGAAGCCGTGGTTGGCACTGTAACAATATTAAGAACGATCTATTTGATGCTGTGGCGGTTGTCCGTTTCTATTCGACAGACGCCTGGATCGGCTTACTGTTTCCTGTTTCCTGTCAGTGCTGCTGAAGAAAGAATGGAAGCATCGTCAGTTCGGTGTGGTCCCTGCGATGCCTCTCTTTGATGTTCTCCTTTCCACGCCAAATGAGCATGCTGCCTGCAGTCGTTACCTGCCAAACCTTTGCATCCCGTCTCACCACTGTGATTACCGACATACGTGCTCTGAAAATCTTTTGTGTGTGTGTGTGTGTGTGTGTGTGTGTGTGTGTGTGATACACTCTGAGGGCCAGCGTCAGACAGCCTATGGTTTGAATCCTGACCCTTTTATGTGTGGTAGCATAAAGGGGACCTGTCACCTCTGCATTGAAGCATGGTTGGTGGCCTCATTCTTTAGTGTTGAAGTGATTTCTGCTTTTCTCTGCTAGCAGGGATGGCTGGTAACTGCCTTTCTCATACATATATGTGTGTATTTATATATATAATTTATATATAATATAATTTATATATAAAAATGTAACATAAATCACACATTTAAAATCATAAATGTGATATATATCGCATATATTTCATACATATTATGGTATGTGGCATTTTTTAAAATTAAAAACACTGATTTTTTTTTTATAACCATCCATCTCTGGAATAAATCACATAATTATCAGTCTCTGCCCATGGCCAATCCCACCTCCATATTTCACATAAATAGCAAAGATTCTAATATTTTACCTTTTGGGGTCTGTGACTGAGTTCCAGGGGGACACCCACATGTACCTTCTTTGTTGTTATATTTTGCTTGCTTTCTTTGAGACAGTTTCAAATAGCCCAGGCTGATCTGGAAGGCGATACATAGCCGAGGATAATCTTGAACTTCTGATCCTCCTGCCTCCACCTCCTGAGTGCTGAGGTCATAGGTGTCCACCGCTTGTGGTGTCGGGGATAGAACCCGTGATTTCATGAACGTTAGGCAAGCACTCACCAACTGTGTTACATCCCCTGCCTCTTTATTTACTTACCGTTTTAAGAAATGTTATAAAATGTTTCTAATGCTTTCAAAAATAGAACCATAAAAAAAAAAAAACTTGAAATTTTTTTTATCTGTCATGACATCACCCATAAACAGCGATGGTAAAGCCAGTTCCTGGGTTTGGCACCTGGCCCTCCCTTCCATTCACCAGAACTGCTGTTGGAGATCCCGGCTTTCCCTGGAGGCAGTATTGATTCCACCAGAGGAAGCAATATGTGAAGTTTTCTGCAAGAAAGTTTTCGTGTGAAACGGCGTCTCCTGCCAGAGAGATGTCATATGGTTTAGTGAACTTTCTTCACAGGAACCAGGAAAAATTCCCAAGCCCCAGATAAATACAGCTGGAATGCTACTCAGACGTCTGTAGCACAGGGCTGATGAGAGACAGGCCTTTAGACACTCCATTTGTTTCTGCTTGAGCTAAGGCCTCCCTTCGATTTTCCTTAAGGTGGAAATCATAAGCTTTCGTTCGTTCTACTGGAGGAAAATGATGGAGATTTCTGGCACTGTGCTACCATTTATACCGTAATAAGTTTACTTAAGGGAGGATGGTTTCTACTGCATCCCTGCCAGGGTTCCCTAAGGAAGAAAAACACAGTGGTGACAGTTGATAGGACCTTCTGCATCTGCCTCTTCTCCCCATCCTTCCTTCAGGGCTGCAGACTGTCTCCTACCACGCTGTTGATTAGCGCGTCTGCACAGCCACAGCGGTACCGTGGTAATTAACGGCCCCCATGTTGACTCTCAGGAACTACAATACCATGAAGTACCCTTCAGAATTATCAAGGAGAAATTAAATTATGTTCAACACAGTTTGAGAGCCACGTGACTCATGATTTAAAGCCTCCCTGTAGGGACGGGCAGGGGCTGGTTCCTACTCACAACTGTTAAGTAAAAAGGATTTCGGGGGGCTAGATGCTGGCCTTCAGAATCGGGCTGTGGGAAACCAGTTTTCTTGGATGAAGTGTCACTGGGGGTATCAACCACACTCCAGGAGAGGCCCCATGCCCAGGAGTAGTTAGCCAACACAAAATAATCTCAATGGAATTTTGTGAACTTTTTGTTTTGTTTTGTTTGATTTTGATGTGTGTATATATATATATATATATATATATACACACACATATATATACACACATATATATATACACACACATACATATACATATACATATACATATATATATCTCAAATGTATATATATATACACATTTGTCTAATTGGTTTTCTGCCTGTTTGTTTTGATTTTCATTTTTGTTGGAGTTTTTGTTTCTTGTTTTTCTTTTCTTCTTAGAGAGAAGCTGAGCCTGGCATGGTGGCACATGCCTTCAGTCTTAGGACTTGGGTGGCAGAGGCTGGTGGGTCTTTGTGAATTTGAGGCTAGCCTGGTCTACATAATGAGTTCCAGTACAGCCAGGGCTACAAATAGACAGACAACAGACAAACAAAAACAAACAGGAGGGGTGGGCGGGAGGGAGAGAACAAGAGTGTAAAGTTGGGTGTGTAGGGAGGTGGGGAGGATCTGAGAGGAATTTGAGGAGGAGAAAACATGATAAAATATATTGTGTGAAGGAGACTTTTCACAAATTGAAAAGCAAATCTAAATCAGGCCATGATGGAATTTTTTTTTTTTTTTTTTGGTACAGAATTTGGCAGCTGCTAAAAATTGGGGTCCTCCACACATAACTGGCTCATCATTACTTTCTGTGCCCCTGAAACTGCTGATTCAATTAATAATCATTCACTAGGACAGCACACCCACTCTGACTACAAGGCCATTAGTCCAACCCCAGCGTAAGTCTCTGGCTGTTACCACCAACCCCCACCAACTGGGTGACTGAAAACCATCTACATGGATTCTCTCATCGTTAGCTCTGCAGACCGGAAATCTGTCACTGGACAGAAATGCAACTGTCATTGGGGACACGCTACGAAATCTTCCTTTACCCCCATTTCTCTGCAGTTCTAGGGAGGGGTGTCATACATGCTAGGCAAGCATTCTACCACGAGCCTCTTTCATTCATTCATTCATTCATTCACTCACTTACTTATTTACAGAATCTTTCATAGTTGCCCAGGCAGCAGGACTCACACTAGGACTCTTCTTGGGGTTAAATCAGGAAGTACAGGGCCTGTGTCACCACATCTGGCACTGGCCCTTTCTGATTTTATTAGTGTGTGTGTGTGTGTGTGTGTGTTCGCGTGTGCGAGTGCGCACGTGCTCAGGGGAGGGGGGCGGGGCATGCATGCAGAGGCCAGAGGATAAACTTGTGAAGTCAGTTCTCTCCTGCCACCTTTCTGTGGGTTCGGGGGGCTGAGGGGATCAAACTCAAGCTGTCAGACCTGTGTGACAGGTGCTTTACCCACCATCATTTCCGGCCCTTTCCCCCAGCTCCTTTCTTACAAGGACGCTTTGTTTGCCTTGAGGGTCCACTCAGATAAGCCCAGACAATCTCCCCCATCTCTAGATCCTTAACTTTATCTTGTCACAGGTCCCAAGACCTTAGCACAACTGATGCCATGTAGGAGGGAGGTCCCATTCAGGCTGTCAAACGCAGCACGTAGACGGCACCACCTGCCAAACAGAAAACAAAGACCTAATCCATCAAAGTCCACAGTTCTGGGCAAGTCTCTAAAAGTCCTAACCTTGCTTTTTGGCTTCTGTAGTTCTGCTTCTGGCTAACTGTTCTTGTTAACTGAAGTATGTCAACCAGGACATGGTTTTTGTGCTTAAAAGCTCACCCAGAGGAAGGCTCAGGGGTACACTGGGATCCCGAACACCCAGGGTAGTCGCCAGCCAACTAATAAAGACTTTTTATTGGCTTAAGCCTGTGTCCTGGACCCCCTGTAAGAGCATCACACACTCTTAATCCCTGAACCATCTCTCCAGCCCCCACCTCTTGGTTACTCTTACTGACCTTATCGCTAATACCGATGTAGGACCAAAGGGGATGATGGGAAGTACATCTACTGGCTGGGAATTACCTCTCTGGTATGTGAAGTCATTGTACCAGAAAAAGGAGAAAGGAACCAGTATTTGATACCTGCTTGCTCTGTGTGAAGTTTGGCAGTTTCACCCATTGGTATGAAGTCCAAGGACAGTTTCGTGTGTTTTTCCTTGTTGCCGAAATACTAATGTTAGAGTCATTTAGAGATATACTTAAGGATGTCGACTGGGTTTTGGTAGCATATCTAGCTTTCTGCTGAAATGTTATATAGGGTAGCTAATGTTGTCTGTGGGAATCCAGGTCAAGTTTGCTCAGCTTAGGAATGTTCTTTGGGGCCTGTGCTTTGTGTGTGTACAAGCAGGAAACAGATTCCAAGAAATGGACAAAGTCAACAGTTAGCAGAGCCAGGGTAGAGCCGGGGAAGGCGATGTTGATTCACTACCATGGTTGGAAGTCGCTTCATCTCTCAGTGCTCCAGTTTCTTTACCTGAAAAATTATGATAAGGATTCTTATCTCCCAGCATTTGGGGAAGGATCAGAAATAAACTGGAGTATGTACTGCCCAGTTATACACCGAGCATTCCAAATGTGGCAATGACCATTCGTCAATATCAGTAGAATTGCTGATTATTGTGTGTCTCCCATACAGTGTTGCTGCCCCAACCTCCAACTGATAGTAAGAGACGGGGTAATGATTAGGTAATGTCCCCCAGGACATCGGGATCTATCACCTTATAAAATACTCCGGAGAGCTCATCCCTTCCGTCCTAAGAGAGGATGGCATTGGAGTGGCAGTATGTAACTGGAGGAGGGCTGTGCCCAGAACCTTACCATGCTTGCACGCTGATAGTGGATTTAAGGCTGCCGTAATTGTGTGAACCAAATTCTGTTGTTTCTAAGCTTCCCGTTTATGGCATGTTACTATAGGAGCATGGATGACTAAGACAAGCTCACGGTGAACACTCATCCAAGCGTCCAGTAAGGCACCATCCAGGTGCTTTCCCGTTCCACTTTGCCACGATGATAGGATGGAGAAAGGCCATCTTCCGTCTGCATTTTTACTACCTAGCACAATTTCTGGAACATGGAAGGGTCACCAAACGCCCCCCTCACATGGAATTAAAGTATCTTTTTCACTTTTTGAAATGTTAAAAACCTCAGATTGAATACTTATTGCAGCTCCTCTCCAACAGACAGCATTGGTGTCTGGTACATTCCTTTCTACACAGTATTTACTTTGGCTGCTGGTCAGCTCTTGGGACAGAAAGGCAGTGTTCAACTTGTGTGACTTTAGGCTAATTATTAACATGATGGATGTGGGTTTTCATTTCATCCTCTGTGCCTTGGACTAGGAAGAATTCAGGCCTACTGCAAAGGAGAGTGACTTTTGTCTCCCATCATTACTCGAAGCTAACATTAGAGGATTTTGAGTTAAGGCCTTTATGTGCATAATCTTACTTAATGCTTCCTGCAACCCCATTAAGTAGCTATTGTTATTATGTCTGTTTTACAGCTAACAATCTGGAGCCATAGGGAAGAGCTTGACGGAGTCTTAGGAGGACTGCCTCTGAAATGGACCATCAAAGCCCGGCATCTGAACATTGTGCTATAGTGCGGCTACATGCAAACATGTCTGCCTTCCTTCCTTTTCCCCCTCTTTCCTCTCTCCCTCCCTCCCTCCCTCCCTCCTCAGTGCTGGGGGTCCCAACCCAAGGCCTTGCACATGTTAAGCATACACCACTGACTATGCTCCCCACAACTCCTTTTCTTTATTTTCTGAGATGTGGAGGGCATCTGGGGGTAGAACCCAGGGCCTTATACATGTTAGACAAATACTCCACCACCGAGCTACGCTCTCAGCCATCATCAGATATTTTATTAAAGCTACGCTAAGGAACCGATTCTGAGAAACAAAAGCTAATTCAGACTTTGACTAAATCTTAATTGAGCAACTACTAGGGTTTCATGGATATTCTAGATTGCTCTCTGAAGAAGGAAGGAAGGAAAGAAAGAAAAAAAGAAGAAGGGATGAGGATGGAGGAATAGCAGGGCCTAGACTATAGCATGTGAGGACTCACTCATCATCTGGCATATGATATCATCTTCCACTTGACACCCAGCTTCCCAAGTTAGGTGCCTGGTTGCCTTGCCTTGGCTCAGGTCCTGTTCCTGCATTTCTGCTCTTAGGGAATCCAGTACCTAGCAAATGTCCTGTGGCAGTGTGGATCACAGCAGGAGAGAGAAGCCACGAGCGGATCTGAAAAGGAAAACTTTATATAAGGAATTATTAACCAGCAGTCTGTTGTTTCGAAGCGTGAGAGGACCCAGACGGGCAGAATACGACAAACGAAGCCAAGGCATTTTGACCTTCAAGCCAAGAGGGAGGACTTTGTCCCCAGGGTTGTGCCTGAGCAAGCATGACTTGCCCTATTTATTGGGCAACATCAGACGCTTCAGCGTTTCCTTTCAGATCACCCCAGGCATCCAGTCTATTTAAAAAATCCAAATAACATCTCAGTCAAACAAACATTCCGAGAGAGGGGGAAATGCTGGAATCTGCCGTTTCCCAGAACAGCCTGCAGGTCTTGGAAGGGGCGCAAACAAAAGTGAGTGATGGTTGATGCACTGTATCCGGAGATTTATGGGAAACCAGAGGTTCTGGCAAGACCACATAGAAATCCCAAGGAGAAATGAAATCGAATTTGCTATCTTACAAACCGCACAGCAGAACTTGAATGCAGGTCAAGTCACCAACAGCTGCTTGGTATCACTTATTTAAACTACAGTAAGAGGATTACTTAAACAAATTCCCTTCCTCTCTAGAACTTTCAAAGTGTTTAATATTTGCATGCTGATTAATCTCCAGCTCCGGAGGAAGCTCCCGAAGGGAGAGACGACACAGAAGCATTTTTCAATTTCAATAACACAAGAGAAAAGGGGGAGTTGGCCGAGTCCTAGGTTTTGGAACCTGCTCGCAGGAGAGTTCTCAACAACGTTGGTCAAACTGTTGAATATTAAGCCTCGGGGCAGGATGGCCGAGAGGACTCCATGCTGAATGCTTGGACAATACAGGCCAACTAGGAGGAAGGCGTAGGGGCAATTAAAGACTTGTGCCACACCCTGCGTTTATGGAGTGGTAGATCCTGAACCTTTCGGGAAGTTTTATTCTATCCCTCCTAAGGGTGAAGTCCTTGTCCTCTGAACCCAGGGAACCCTCCCCCCCAGGGCTATTCCCACATCCAAGGAGAGTTCTGAATGTTTTCTTTCTCCTAGAAGACCTTCGTTGACTGGGGACATGGCCGAGTTGGTAACTCCCTCACCTGCATGCACGAGGCCCTGGGCTCAAGTCCTAGCACCACGTATGAAAACCCAAAGACCTTCAGTACTGCTGGAGGTGGGGTGGCGCTCTGGGAAGCGTTTGGCGGTGGAAAGAGCAGCGGGCTTGAAGTGCACATGCGCAGGTATGAAGTTGGGCTACATCAACAGTTCTCAACCTGTGGGTAGCGACCCCTTGGGGTGTTGAACGACCCCTTCACAGGGATCACCTAAGACCGCCAGAAAACACAGATATTTACATTACGATCCATAACAGTAGCAGCATTACAGTTACCAAGTAGCAATGAAAATAATGTTACGGTTGGGGGAGGGGTCACCACAGCACGAAGAACTGTGTTAAAGGGTCGCAGCGTTAGGAAGGTTGAGAACCCCTGGGCTATACATCAAGGGCTCTCAACTTGTCTACGCAGAATCCACTGGGGAACTTGATTAAAAAAACTTTTATTTATTTATGGACAATTTCATACCCGCATCGGAGGTATCTTGATCATATCCACCGCCGACTCCCCGCTCCTCCGAGTTCCGACGACCCTCACTCCGCCCCTTGAGACATCCCCTACCCACCATCATGCCCTTTCTCCCTTTTCTGAACCCACCCACTGAGTCCAGTCGGTGTCGCCTGCTGGCATATTGCCTGGGCTTGATGGCTCAATCCTGTGCGGGTCACAGTGAGGTCATGAGTGCAATGGCTAGAGGACAGGCTCCCCAGCACTCCACTCCATCCTCTGGCTCTTCTTTCTTCCCACCCGCTCTTCCGCCATGTTCCCCCGGAGTCTCGGGCAGGAGGGATTGATAAAGGTGCCCCATGTGGTACCGAGCATTCAGCAGACACGGATTCGCCACACACTGACCAGTTATGAGTCTCTCTGGTAAGTCGTGTCCACTGTCGATAGGAGGCTTTTGTGACCAAGACTGAGAAGAGCATCACTCTACGGACGTAAACATAAATGTTTAGAAAGCAGTTTGACAACATGTCCACTCAGCAGGAGGACTGTAGTAGGTCCTCCTTCCCCAGGTGCCTACGACTTCCTTGAGCACAAATGTGCTTTTGATCAGTTCTATAGTACCAGGCGTGGAATCCTATGGGGAACTTTCATGTAACACCTAAATCAAAGCCAGGACTGACAGTGCCTGTCATCTTAGCACTCAAGAAACTGAGGCAGGAGGAATGAGAAGTCAAGATCGACCTGGGCTGGATAGGGAGGCAGTGTCTCAAACAAACAAATATTACCCCCCCAACACACACACACACACACACACACACACACACACACACACACGCGCACGCGCACGCGCACGCGCACGCACACGCACACGCACACGCACACGCACACGCACACACAAAACCCTAAGCGAAGACCCCAATTCAGGTTAATTAAATCTAAATCTTGGACAGGTAAGGCTGAAAATATTACACAAAAAAATTAATAAAACAAAGCAACTTTCTCAGTTCTGTAATTTGAGTGTGGGATGGAAGCTTGGTCCAATTGGAAGGTGGTGGGGCCTTCAAAAGACAAGGCCCGACTGGGAAGTCCTTAGGAGGGGTGGGACCATTGCTCTTGAGCTGTCCACTGAGAGACTTGCTACAGCAACAAGCCAGACCCCTAGAATCCTTCCTGACCTCCAGTTTAGAGAAGTGGTCTTATTTCTTCCTCTGGTAAAAAGCCTTGTTGCTGTGGGATGGTCTGTATGTCAAATGTGTTACTCTGATTGGTCAATAAATAAAACACTGATTGGCCAGTGGCCAGGCAGGAAGAATAGGTGGGACTAACAAAGAGGAGAATTGAGAGAACAGGAAGGCGAGTCACTGCCAGCCGCCGCCATGACAAGCAGCATGTGAAGATGCCGGTAAGCCACGAGCCATGTGGCAAGGTATAGATTAATAGAAATGGATTAATTTAAGATGTAAAAACTAGATAGCTAGAAGCCTGAGCCATTAAGCCAAACAGTTTAAATAATATAAGCGTCTGTGTGTTTATTTTATAAGTGGGCTGTCGGACTGCCGGGGCTTGGTTGGAGCCGGAGAGAAACTCTCCAGCTACACCTTGTGCTGCCGAGTTGTCCTCTTTATGCCCTTGACAGAGCCCTAACCAGTACCCTTTCCCCTAACCTCAGGACTGTGAGCTTAATGCTGTGAGATGTCCTGTATGCTGTGAATATATGTTGCTATGATTGACTGATAAATAACACGCTGATTGGCCAGTAGCCAGGCAGGAAGGATAGTGTAGGCGGGACAAGGAGAGAGGAGAATGCTGGGTGGAAGAAGTCTGAGTCAGGAGACGCTGGCAGCCACCATGTTGAGCAGCAAGATGTAAGTTACTGGTAAGCCACAAGCCACGTGGACGTGCTTGTGTGTGCACACAGAGACCAGAGGAACATTATGCACCATGTTTTAAAGTCACTTTCTGTCTTATTCCCTTGGGATAGGGTCTCTTATCGAGTCTGAAGCTGGGTTGGCAGCCAGCAAGCCCCAACTATCCTCCCCTACCACCCTCCCCTACTGCATTACTGAGGTCACAAACACGTGGGGCCATGCCCAACTTTTTTTTTTTTAATTCTTTGTGTCTTTCACATCATGCATCTCACTCCCATTCATTTTCCATCCCTACACAATCTCCCTCTGCCCTTGCAGCCCCTTCCCCCAAATCAAATTTAAGAGAAGAAAGGAAAAAAGGGGGAAACCCTTGTCATGACGGAAGCTGTAGTGTGACACAGTGAGTCACGGAGTAAACCTTTTTTCCATATATCTTTACTTGTGAAGCGTCATTGGTCTGGTTCGAGGCCTCTGGTTTCTGCTACACTGTGGATGCTGGGCCCTCACTGGAGCTCCTCTTGGATGTCCTGCTGTTGCCCTGTGTTGTGGAGATCCTGCAGCTTAGGATCTGCAGGACTGGTCCCTTCATAGGCTCCAACAGATCACAGATGGGGTGGGTACTGGGGTGGGCCAGCAGATTACCCTGGCTCTGGGCCTGGGTAGTTTCGGGGTTGGTCCGTCTGCCAGCCCTCCCTTGTCCTCACCACCAGGGTGAGCGCTCCTGCATTGCCCTGGGGAGTTCACCCTGTGCAGTGATGAGCAAGGGGCCGGGCCAGGTCTCCTGCTTTCACGTGCTAAGGGTTGGATCTTCCACACCGACACCTTCAGGGCCAGCTCTCCTCTATTGCCCAAGATGTGGTGTAGGGACCACTCTGTAGCAGATGGGGGGCAGGGCTAGTTCTTCCGCCCTCATGACCTCAGGGCCAGCTCTTCCACCTGCCTCAGGCGTGGATGGGCGGGGGTGGGGCAGACATCTCTCTCCCCCCCATGCTGCCACATGACCCGGTGAGTCATGGGGACAGCTCTCCCACGTTCACAACTTTGGGCCTGGCTCACCCACACCTCTGCCAACCGGGTTGGCTCTATTGTGCTGCCCAGGTAAGGTGCAGGGCCTGCTCTCCCGAGGTTTGCACCGTGCCCAACTTCTAATGGGGATGCTGGGGAATTGAACTCAAGTACTCAGGCTTGTTCACAGAGTTTTCTTACCTGATGAGGCATCTCCCCAACCCAAGCCTTATTAATTAATTAATCAATCTATTTATTTTTGCAGTACCTGTACAGTTCTTCACTGCAGCAAGGTCTCTACCACAGCACATTTCCTCCAACCTCCTCCTTTTCCTTCCCCCTTTCTTTTTTCTTCTTTCTTTCTCTCTCTCTCTTTCTTTCTTTCTTTTTTTTTGAAAATAAAGTCAGTTTGCTTCAGATATTTCTCAATGGTAGCAGCATCCACAAAGAAATGAGAGACACCCATATGCAGCAGCCAGGGCTGGAAAGCACTTCTTACTTTAGTTCCTGGTACAGCAACACCTAACATCCCAAGACACAAAGCTCTGTCCCCACCCAGCGAGACAAACTCTCATTGAGAAGCACCCCACCTGTGAAGATTTATTTGCGTTTGGACTGAGATGGAAACAAAAATTTTCTCCTCAGAATTCCTAAACTATTATGTTATTTTCCTCATAACAAACATACTCATTAAACATTCTCTCTCTGAAGCTGGGCGTGGTGGCACATGCCTTTAACTCAGCACAGGGGAGGTTGAGGCAGGAGGATCTCCATGAGTTCAAAAGCCAGCCTGGTTTACAGAGTGAGTTCCAGGACAGCCAGGGCTACAACAGAGAAACCCTTTCTAACAATACCACCAAAAATTCCCTTTCTCTCTCTCACTTTGCACTTCTGGGTGTGGGGCTGTCTCTCAGAAGGCTGACTCCCGACTGTGATAAAAACAACTCTGTCATTTGGTCTGGGTTCGGCTCCTCACGTCACGTTCTTCCTCTGTTCTGAAAGAGTTTTTCATGAAGTTGCAAGTTCTCTGTGGGTATCCACAATCTCATCACCCGCAGGCCTGACAGAGGTCAGTGCATATTCAGCTACCATGACAAGACAGATCTCGTGACTCAGTTGTGACATTCAGGACTAAAAGCATAAATCATAAATCATTCAAATCCCAGCCATCGGAATAGTCACCTCATGTCTGTCTCCACGAGCGTGTTATTAATGTGTCAGAGATATTTCTGGAGACAAATGGAAGTGATAATTCTATATTCACTCCTGTTTGAAAGGCTAATTTATTTTTAGTGTACTCTCCGGTAAAAATCTGTCAATATGGGAACATCCCCCCCCCCTGCAAAAAAAGAAAGAAAGCATTCCATTTTTAGTTTAATGCTAATATTGTGTTCATCGAATGGACTGAGATATTGATGAGCTGTATAAACTGTCCAGTTCAGATAAGAATAGTGTAAATCAGTATCTGTAGAAGGTTAACTTAAGCTTTACTGATTAATACTTTGGGATAATTTAACTAGTGAAAAGTGATGCCAATGACTTCCTGAGTGATCAATAACATACCCTGAAGGGTGTTGGAGATGGCTACAATACAGAACAGAATGGAGCAGGAGTTAGCAAACTTTTTCTTTTCTTGTTCTTTTTTTCAGTCTTCTTTCTCTTCTTGAGACATGGTCTCTTGTTGTCCAGCCTGGCTTCAAACTCACTGTATAGTCAAGGATAGCCTTCAACTCCTGACTCCTGCCTCTACCTGTCCAGGGTTGGCATTGCAGGCATACCCCACCACATCTGGTTTACGCGCACTGGCGTTACATTCGAGCATGCTAGGCAAGCAGTCTACCAATAGAGCCAGACTACCAGACCCATAAATTTTTTTTTAGGGAAAATAGTATATTGTCTAGGTTTTACTCCTCAGCTCTTGCATTATGGCGTTAAAATAACCAGAGATGATGTATTAATGATAAGATGTGATTATGTTTTGAACAAAGTCTTATTTTAAAAAAAAATAGACTACAGTATTGAGGATGTAGGTAGGGTGTTAGCCTAGCATGCGTGAAGTCCTGGGTTCGACTCCCAGTACTGCACAAACTGGATGTAGTGACGTATACCTGTCATCCCTGCCCTAGGGAGGCAAAGGCAGGAGGATAAGAAGTTTAGGATCATCCTCAGTTACGTAAGGAGTTCAAGGCCAGCTTGTGGCCTATCTCAAACAAACAAATAAAAATAAAACCACCCTGCTCCCCAATAAACCACAGATGGATTTGGCAGGTGAGTCATGGCTGACCCACTTCTGGATTGGAGAAAGCATAACATCCTTAAGCTGGCTCCCAGGGTGCAGGGAAAAGGTAGCAGTTACAGTTGGAAAGTTTAACTCAATCTAAAGAAGCTGGGGTGGGGGCAGGGTGTGTGTGGGGTGTGTTAGGGCTCGATGTGAGCAAGTAGGTGCACCGTAGTAGGAAAAGGCATGAGAAAACATTAATGACATTGGGTGGTAATAGCGGTCTTTACTAATTCGTGTTTACCAAGGACTTAATATTTCTTATGTTTTAACTCAAACACTCCTGATGCTAACCTGAAGGTGCCAGTATAGGTAAGGATCGTTCACATTTCATAGTTGATGAAACCAAAGCCTGGAGAGGTTACATATCTTTCCCAAAGACATGTGGCTAGTTAAGTATTATTCCCGAGACAGGAGCCCAGAGAATCTGAGGACAGAGACTACTCCCTGCGAATAAAATGCTGCGACTTCTCTGCCATGGTCAAGGCCAAGTCCAAAGTCATCACAGCTGGAAGGAAATGGGAGGTTTTCTATGTGAATACTGTAGTGTCCGTTCAGGTTGCAGAAGTCATCACGCAGCTGATGGGCCAGCCGCAGTTCCCTGGAGGGTCATACACTGTGGGGATATTTGCATACTGAACATTCTGGAAGATGGTTTTAGTTAGTATCCTCTGTCTGAGAAAAAACGCTTGTTTGTTTGTCTGTCTGTTTTGTTTTGCAGAGTACAATAAAGACAGTGTCCTCCTTTAGGGAAAGTTTGGGAAAATTTGCTGCTGACTCTTTTTTTTGGGGGGGGGCGGGTTTGAGACAGGGTTTCTCTGTGTAGCTTTGCGCCTTTCCTGGAACTCACTTTGTAGACCAGGCTGGCCTCGAACTCACAGAGATCCGCCTGCCTCTGCCTCCCGAGTGCTGGGATTAAAGGCGTGCGCCGCCGCCGCCGCCGCCGCCGCCGCCGCCGCCGCCGCCACCACCCGGCTTGCTGCAGACTCTTATGAAAGATTGGGAAGCTGCTGCTGTAATGGAGCTATTTTATCCTGTCCCCTTGAGACTTGGTGGGCGGCCGGGAAGAAATGGGTGCTAACAAGAATCTCATGTTGCTTGCTGTGCTAAAGCTTAATAAAAGTCTTTTGTCTTTGGTCTAGAAATCCAGTCTTGCACCAACAGCCACAAATCCACGCCAGGCCACCTTGTCATTGTGCAAGAGAGGTAAAAATCTCAAACTTGCCACAGTTTTTTGACATATACAGGAGGCACAATGGGTCATAAAGTCTGGTCTACAGATTAAGAATGAGCAGTCTTCGTTTGCTGTGTAAGTGTGTGTGTGTGTGTGTGTGTGTGTGTGTGTGTGTGTGTGTTCACACTCTAATACACACACACACACACACACACACACACACACATCACTACCACAAATTATAAGGTTGAGTTTTCTGAATTTGGGGAAATTGTAGAGGTCAGCCCATCTGAAGTGCCATGGATAAGCCTCACCCTGGGAAGACCACCTTTGTGGTCATGGCTATTTTTCCATCAGCTTAGCAGCTGCACCTTAATCTACTGATATTTTAAGTGCCTTCTGCAGCCCCCAGGCTGCTCATACCATGGCCTGTTAGAATTTCCAACCCTCCAGCTCTGGCTCTGATGATGCTGCCAAACACAGTTTCTAACTAAGCCTATCATTCTATTTACCAATAAAGACTTGCGGGAGTCAGATGTTGGGGTGAAAACCTGCTAGATCAGAGAAGCTGAGAAGCAACCAGCTGGCCTTCCTTTTTTGGCCTGAGACTCAGCAAGAGAGCATCTCTCCACCCATCCCAAACCATCCAAGTCTCTCCCTGCTTTTTCCTATGCATCTTTCTGTCTGTCTTCCTGGTTCCTCACGACTCTCTATGGATAATTCCTGTCAACTAGTTGCTGACTCCACCTCCTGACCCAAGGTTGATTTTTATTAACAGTCTCAGGTTTCACAGTGTGGTCAAATATCCTGCAATAGGTCATGGTATCTCCCCTGCCAGGTCAGTATGTGTCTGCCTTTTGAAACATGGTCTCTTACAGAGATCTGGGCTTGTTGATTCAACAATGCTGGCTAGCCAGCAAACCCTAGGAACCCACCTGTCTCCACCTCCTTACTCCAACCCACACACAGGGTCACAAGCAGGTGCCACCATGCCCCACTTTTCACATGTGTTCTGAGGGTTGGACTCTGGTTCTCACGCTTGTGGGGCCAGCACTTTATCGACTGAACCATCTCCCAGTGCCCTTGGGCTCTTCTTAAGTATGGAGGAAGGAGAACCAGAGGCCTACATGGAAGCTGGACAGAGGAAAATCTCTACAAGCACCTGCCACTCTTGATCACATAACCAACAGGGGACTTTCCTCCTCCAAGTCTTAAAACTGGCCATGTGGAGCCAAAGATGCACTCTTGGCTCACTGGGATGCCTTTCAATGAACCATAGCTTCAACACAAACTTTGCATTCCAGCAATCTCGGACAGGGGTGTGTTTCCCAAATGTAGCCTCTCATTAGTGTTTTAACAACACTAAAACAACTTAAAAGCAGACTTCTGAGGACCTTGAGAGACACAACAGGGGTGTGTGGGGGGGCTTGTAAATCAGGATTTTACAGAAGTCTCTGAGATGAGAGGAAGTCAATCCTTGCAATGTTCTAATAAGGATTGAATTCCACAGTAGGCAAATTGGGTTTCTCTCTATCTAAACGTTTTCATTGGTTTTGCAAGAAGAACTAGGCACTTCTATATGGGTAGCAACTAGCCACAAGTGTCTATTTAAAGTAAAGTTAATCCAAATTTAATTCCAGTTAAAATTCAGCTGCCCAGCTGCATTAGCCTCATGTCCAGAATTGAATAGCCACGTGATTGGTGGTCACACTATTATACAACACAGATGAGGGCATTTCCATCTCTCCAGAAACTTGTAGACTATCTTATCATACCAGAAAAGAAAGATGAAGCAAAGACTATTGAGGTTGCACCAGAAAACTTCAGGAACCAATGTGAATATCATTCCATTGGCCAAAGATCAAATAATCTGATCACTAATCAGAATAACAACCAAAATGGGTTGAAGTACATGAAATATATGTGTATATACCTGCATATATAGTATGTATGTGTGTGGCATGTGTATGTACTTGTGTGGATATGTGTGCACATGGACCTGCATGTAGAGGCCAGAAATGGATGTCCATGGTCTTTCTCGGTTACCCTCCACCATACAGGATCTCTCATTAAACCCAGGGCTCAATGATTCAGCGAGGCTAGGTGGCCAAAGAACTGTGCCCAGTTAATAATGTATCCTGTGCCGGGCGTTGGTGGCGCACGCCTTTAATCCCAGCACTCGGGAGGCAGAGCCAGGCGGATCTCTGTGAGTTCGAGGCCAGCCTGGGCTACCAAGTGAGCTCCAGGAAAGGCGCAAAGCTACACAGAGAAACCCTGTCTCGAAAAACCAAAAAAAAAAAATAACGTATCCTGTGCTGGCTTCTCTTCTCTTCTTCCTCTACTCACATACTACATTCTTGTTTTCTGGGATCTTCAAATACATGGCTGTCTGCAAACCTCTCTCTCAGGCTTGGCTTTGACTCAGGCGAGGACAGCCTTCCTTCGACTTCCAGTTCTTGAGAGGGCATCAAATCCCACCTGCCATACAGATTTGATTGCTTGGTTCAGAGTCTGCTCCTGGCCCAATCTCCAGTAAAAGACTGCCTCTTCCGGAGATATTGGTGGGACTTCAACTTCGAAAGGTCGGAGGGAGAGATGGTTGTGGGAGGCAAAACTGAATAAAAACCTTGAAGCTAAATACCTCTTGGCCAGGGGGAGTAATAGATCTGCCCCGGGAACGCTTTCAAGAGATGCAAGCTGTTAAACTTGAAGGTCAACAGGGAACACATTTCAGATGAAAGGGGCACACTGTCATATGGTGAGGTTGAAGTGATAGAGAGTGAGATTGAGAAAACACTTCACATCTGTAAGAGACACATTGGGTACAGGGTATAGTAGTCCAGGATGCAGAGTATACGAAGGATGCATTTGAGCTATGATGCTCTAGATCATAAACCTCCAACACAGTAAGTAGGAAGACAGCCCTGCAAAGCAGCGCAGAGTGAGTTACCCCTACATCACAGAAACATGTGCAAGCACTCACCCAGCGACCTTTAAATCCTAGCTCCAAAGCTTGACTTGGGAAGGGAGGCTTGTATGAAGTAGCCAAGGCCAAAACTGGCACCCACCTCTCTCTGTTCACTCTAGAGTTCTCCATCTCATTCCCCAACCTTCCTCCTCAGCTCCCCCCTCCCCCTCTCTCTGTCAGGCAAAACCTCTCTCCAAGGCATGGTGTAACGGCAGATGTTTAATAACAGCCTTTCCAGAAAAAAAAAAAAAGCCTTGGTCCGCAGTGTTTGTTAAATTCCATTGTGTGATTTCTCTCACCATGCCCTGATGGAAGCTACCAGCCTGAGTTTCTATTTTCTAAACACACACACACACACACACACACACACACACACACACACACACACACACACACAGGTGTGCATGTGGAGGACAAAGTCTAACTTGTAGAGATCGATTCTCTCCTCCCACCGCGTGGCTCAGATCATTAAGGCTAGTGACCTTACCTGCTGGGGCGTCTGATGGCCCCAACCTAAGGTTATTGAACATGGAATTGGAAGTTGGTACCAACTGACCAGGACGAAAACAAAGACTAGAAAGGATGCTGCAGAGTCACTGACAGCCTTAGAATCAAGCAGATGATGTCAGTGATGACTTTAAGGGCGTAGCTACAGCTTCAAGCCCAAAGTGACATTCAGATGACCTTCTCTGTCTCCTTGAGTATGTGTTGCAACCTTGGCTGTCCACTCCAGTGTCTAGCTGCACTCTTAGCTTCCATGTTACTAAGAACTTCTTTACATGGCGGCTTTAAACTAACCAAACACTCAGCTGGTAAAAGGCTTTAGGACAGCAGGAGGAACTTGCATTCCATATTTATTGGCGCTTCTTCCACAAACATCCAGGCTGTGGAATGCTCACACCCACTGGTATAGATATACCAACACCCTTTTGTCCCTTGCTTGAGTGTAGAGCTAATGATCCCCACCCAGTTTCCCAAGGTGATCCACACCCTGCTTCTCTGGCCTCAGTTCAAGTCTTTATTTGGTTTGTTTGGATGATAGCCAACAGCTGCATACCTCTTTCCTCGACTCTATTCCCTTAGGGCTATTAGTAAATGTGTGTCTAACTTATCGTAGGTACTAAGAAGTGGCTTGGCCTGTTCTCTTGTCTATGGACCTGCCTTGGGGGCTCATGGGGACTCATGGAAGTTCTCTGGGGCATGACTCAGGGGTTTATCCTCTTTGGACATCTCTCACACTATATACTGGTGAGTCTGTTAGCTTTAGCTTTGGGCTGGCCCTACTAGCCTGTGGTTACTTATCTGAATTTCCCAAAACTGGTGGTTAACTTTTGACTTTTTCTTGGAGAGCTTTCAGTGCTAATGATCCAACCCATTCCACATAACCCAGATGAACACATTTCAGCTTACACGATTGTGTGTGTGTGTGTGTGTGTGTGTGTGTGTGTGTGTGTGTGTGTGTGTAACCTTCTCCTCACCATTTCTTCTCATCCATGGCGACTTACAGGAAACAAATGCTTCCAGAGTTATAAGCACTCGTTCCTTGTGACCCAGGATCTCTTTAAAGTATAACTCATTTCGTCCCCTCTCTCCCATGGTGAATATGTACTCATCTTTAGATTTGTGGTTTAGTTTTTATTCTCCTGAAGTCAAGACATAAGAAGGAAAATTTCTTGTCTGAGCTAGGGCCCGTTCTCATCCAGACACACAAAGCAGCCACCACTTAGATTCATTCTTTTTAATTCTCATTTCCTTCTCATATATCCTTATAAACATACATCACCACCCTTCCTCACAAAGGCAGGGCCAGTTAATGCTACTTAGAACTTCCTATACCCTGACAGAACAGCTCATCTAAGTCAACAGAGTGTTTTGTCTTCTTATGTTGGAGAAGGGACAGGCCTTAAAATCAATGTGTCCTCCCTTCCAAGCCAGAGCCTGGCCCTGCCCAGTGACTGTTCCATTCAGAGTAAAGGTCAAAGGCCCTGCAGACTGAAAAAAGTCTTTAATTCAAGCTCACATTATGCAAGAAGAAATTCCAGTTCTTTTGCTGTCAAGCTTGAGAGGCTGACCGAGCTTGGACCATTTCGCCCTTTCTTTCTATCAGATGTCCAGTGAACTTGTGTCCAATTTGTCCAGCAGCCTTCCACAGACAGCTTCATTCTGTGATGCCCCTGGCGAGTTTGGAAGGAGGCCAATCTGGACACAAAAAAATGAGAGTGCCCCAGGGCAGAAATTCTTCCAAAGTTCTTGGTTGTCAGAAATATGAGGAGCGTCGAATGGTCCTCAAAGAGAAGCAGAAAAGGCTCAACATTGAAAGCCTTTGTGGATTAGAGTGTCCAAGCCACCAAGCTAAAAGATCAGATGGGAGCCATTGTGTAGTGGAGCTGGCCACAT